TTTACAGACCCCACAGCCAAGCCCTGAGGCTGCAGAAGGGGTGGCAGAGGCTATTGCTGCAGCTGTCAGCCCCCTCTCCACAGAAATGGGAGCACCATTAGCACATCTCTTCCCTGGCCTATGCAGTAGTGCCCTATGTACTGATGTATTCTTTGCCCAGATGGATGAGGAGCTGGAGTCAGACTCTTTGTGGCTCTGGCAACAAAGGGTCCCTCCAGCCCTGGGAAATACAATTGCTGCTTTGGACTCACTGGGAAATACAATTGGACTCACTGTATATTTTCTCCACAGTCTCATTTTGAAAGCAATAATGATCTTTTCCTCTCCCCTGGGTGCTGGGAAGCAGCTCAGGCAATTAGTTGTAGAGACTTGCTGTGGGAACTGCTCCTGCCTGGGAGCACAGGGGTGCCAGCAGCGAGGAGGAGGAGACCTCTGCTTCTGCCTCCCATCATTTGTAACCAGAAAGGTAAGAAGAAATGATACCTGCAGAAATAACTTGGTTTTGGGACGTCTGTCTCACCACCGGGCAGGAATCGGTTCCGTGTGCTGGGCATGCCCTGAGCTGCCTTCCCTCAAGTGGGATGTGGGACCATGGGAATTCCGGGGACCATCAAAAGCAGGGCTGGGATATGCCCAGGATGGGGGCAAGGCAGGCACGTCCCCATCCCAGCTTGGAAAGGGGTGGCCACATCACTGCTGGGGTGCATGAGGTAGGTTTGAAAGCAGCGTTACTGCTGCGTGGAGCCGGAGAAGAACAAACCCGATGCTCCTCAGGGACCGAGCAGGGGATTCTCTGCAAAGATCTCCTCACATAAATACCCTCCTGTGGCTTTTAATATGGCTGGGGAGGAGGGAGGAACAATGTGGGCCAGCAAAGCTAAAACCTGGGTTTCTAATCTGTGAGAACCAAGCAGGGAAAGAATAGAGGGAGAAAAGAGCACACAGCGATGACCCTGCCGTGCACCTTGAAGGAGCAGAAACAGGTCCCTGAAACGATGCTCTGCCCTGCTCACCCCATCCCTGTCCCCCTCACACATCTGAGGCTTTGTAGTGCACCTTGAAAGAGTGCATGAGGGACGGGGTGGCTGCTAATGAAGCAAGATGCAGTGGAAGCCTGCTCCCTCATGCAGTGCGAGCTCATTTGTGTCCATAACAGCACCGTGGCAAAGCTATATTAATGCAGAATACTTTTCATTTGCATGGCATTATTGAGTTGTTCATGGAAGGACTGGACCAGGTGCATGTGTTCCTGCTGCTTGGCTTGGTGGTGGTGGCTGCTTTACACCAAGAAGATGCAGTTTAAGACATGCTGGTTAAAAATGCACTCAGTCTTCTTCAACACGGGAAGGAAACAGGCTCACCAGGATGGCTAGGGGCAGGGTGGCTCCAATACTGACCATACCATGATGGTTTCTCAGTGTCTGATTCCAGGTGATGTGGTGTAGGCAGGAAGGGGGCCATGAAAGCTCACTGGGCTTGGCTCTGTGTCCTTGAGCAGAGCTGCAGAGCATCCGTGTCCTCAGCTCCCTGGAGAGACAGCGGGGACAGCCTCAGCGGGGATTTGCAATGAAAAGAGAAATGAAAGCAGGAAAATGCCATTTGGGTTAATTCTGCTTTGGTTTTCACCTGAAAGCACTTTAAAAACTAGGAGGAAGCTTGTAAAGGAAGTTGTGTTCTGAGTTGAAAAGACCCAAAAGTTCTATTGACAGCTTTGACTTTTGTTTTTAGATTTCATAAGCAAATAGCAGCAGTGCACAGATATGTTTTGATGCTTCAGCTCCATTTATTTTTGTTGGAAAGGGTGTTTGGCTGTTTGGTTTGGTTTTGTTTTCACTGGCTTTATATTGGAGAGAAAACATCCTGGATGCAAATGTGCGATCCAGGAGGGAATCTGTGAGTCTGCCACCAAAAGCATCTTTTCAGTACAAAACGTCTCCAGCACCAGAATCCTGGGTTAATTTGCCATTCTTCCAGGGCTACACACAAACTGTTCAGCTGATCAGAGATGTGCAAACACACCCACCGCAGCACATACTAGTAAATAACAACAAGCCGGAGGCTGTTTTTTCTCCCTAGCTCCAATGCCTGGTGTAAAAGCCAGCCTGTCTTCCCTAGAACCACCTTTAGCTTTATAACCTCTTGCTCTCACATTGTTTTCTTGCTGCCCTCATCTCTCTTCTCTGGTTTGAAGCCTCCTCACAGCCCCGAGCAAAGCTCATCATGCACACAGCAGCCTTTGGCTTCTCTCCAGCTGTGGAGCAGTGAGGAGCTGGACAAGGTTTGGGCATGAGCCCACCTTGGAGTGGAGGAGACTGGAAAGGATGAATGTGGTGTGCCCATCGGCATGGTTTGGGTGATGGCACGGGGGAGCTGGTGCATGTACTCCATCATGAGCACCCCGGGAGAATCTGCTCCTGCTGGGAAAGGACAGGCTGGAAGCATTTCATTATGCTTCCCTTGTGGGTATGCATATGGATGAATGGCACATGCTGGTGCCTATGTGTATGCATGTGCATGGCAGGAGAGAGAGAGCATTAAGCTGCCTAGAGGACTGACTCACGCCCTGGTCCTGGGTAAGCAGGAGGGCTGCTTCTCCTGCTTGTAAGGAGATGCATGTTCCTGAGTGCTGGGGCTGCTCCAAACCCTCACGTGCAACAGGACTGAGGTGCCAGCCCCCTCTGCTCCCCAGTTTTGGCTCCCCCCTTCACCCATGGCAGTGAATCCTGGTGGTGCTGTTCGCACAGGGGAAATCTCTCTGGCCGCTCCGATGAGCTGCTTGTTGCTGGAGCAACGCAGAGCAGCCTGAGCAGCCCCGAGTACCTGGTTCCTAAAGCACTGCTCCGTCATTGCAGCCTCCCCTATTTACAAGGCAGTGTGCAGGGAGACACACACACAGCTCTTCCCTGCCTGCTCCCCATCCTGCCCATCACTCACTGCACCCACTGTACCCAAACCATGCAGAACCCGCATCCTCCTCTCAGGAAAACAAACCCTGCTTCCCTTCTCATGCAGCTCAAAAATGCACCCCAAAACCAAAAAGGATGCTTTGAATTGAGCTCATCTCTTTCAAAACTTCCTTTCTCTTTGTCCTTGAAGCAAGTCTCTTGGTTTCCTTCTGCCTGGTCTCTGCAAATGAATCTCCTAGCAGGGACACCTTGTCAGCTATTTTCCTCGGGCTTGAATACAGCGTTTCAAATGAAACGCCTTTTTTAGTCTCTTCTACTTCATCTATAAGAAGATGGGTGAAAAAAAAATCTATTTTCTTTCTTCTTTTTAAAAGATTTTTCTTCCTTTTTTTTTCCCCTTCAAGTGGCCTTATGGCTCCTTTTAAGAAATTACATAACAAATTGTGGAAATTTGGAATGGAGCTGGTAGTTTGATTCCTTTAAGACTCTCTCTTCTGCCACTAAGACAAAGAAAGGCAGAGTAACATTCAGTAGAGGGGAGAAAAAAAATCAAACTTACCATTTGGCTTTTGAACAAGGTGCAAATTAGTGAGTATTTGTTAAAATTTGAGACAGCAATTGTCTAAGAAAAAACATTTTCAAAGAGGAGAAGGGCTTTTTTTTTTCTTCTTAACTAAAAAAGCCCCTGAACCTTCCTTTCTTTTAACTTCAAAAGGGAGCCAGATTGCAGAGGAAGAGAGAAAAACCTTGTATCTCCTCTGAAGAGAAGCAAGTGACTTAGTCAAAGTGATCTTATTTGTGAGGGAATCGTTTTCTGTTCACCTTTTTTTTTGTTTTAAGATCGTGATCAAGTGGCTTGTGAATCATTAACTGGGCTGGTGAAACCTCTGCTCTCTACCTCATGGAGATGTCAGGGGGTCATTTACTTGGGGGTAACGGGATTATGCTGACCTGCCTGCTTCATAGATCCCAGCCTGGTTTGGGTTGGAAGGGACCTCAAAGCTCCTCCAGCTCCAACCCCTGCCATGGGCAGGGACCCCTTCCACTAGAGCAGCTTGCTCCAAGCCCCTGTGTCCAACCTGCCCTTGAACACTGCCAGGGATGGGGCAGCCACAGCTTCTCTGGGCACCCTGTGCCAGCGCCTCAGCACCCTCACAGGGAAGAGCTTCTGCCTAAGAGCTCATCTCAGTCTCCCCTCGGGCAGGTTAAAGCCATTCCCCTTGGCCTGTCCCCACAGGCCCTTGTCCCAAGCCCCTCTCCAGGTTTCCTGCAGCCCCTTTAGGCACTGTAAGACCAGCAGGCACCAAGCGGGAGTTTTCTCTCTGCTTTGGGTGGGTGTTTTCAGCAGTACAAGAGTGCATGAAAACCCTTCCAGCTCCCTATAATGGCATTTTGCACTGGCTTCTGCACTGATGCAAGAAGGGGCAACAAAACGTGCTTAAGGTTAGGCATAGATCTCGGTGAAAGATAAGTGGTGCCTGTACTGCCTGGGGTCTCTTGCATTTGCAAATACATAGCTATGATAAAGGGGGATTTTCAGATGTGACCCACAGGTATTTCATGTTAATGCAGTGGTAATCTCTGGGAAAAAAGATTCCTGCTAAGGGATGTTCTTGTGCTGCATCTATGAAAGCTAATGTCAGCCTTGTCCAGAGCGATGTTAACCCCTGTATGAGTTTATATATGCAGCATCTGCCGAGCCTTTGGCTGGGCTTGTAGATTTGACATTGAACTCCTCATTTCATCTAAGCTTTAATAACGTGAGCATTGCCACAGTGCAACAGAGCACCGATTCCTCCCGTAGCCCGGGCTGCCAGTGGCCCGCGCCAGATGCTTCAGAGGAGATTGCAGAGCATCATCATACAGCTAATTGGTGGGAACACGTCCTCCCTCTGCCAGCTGGTGTTCATCAGCTATGTGTCCTGCAGCACCAGGGGCTGATGAAAATAGCCATGTGTAGTGCTGCTCGCCTGCCTTCAATCAGAGGAGCACAAACACCAGTGAATGAAACCCCTCATATGTCGGGTATTGTGTTGTTGCTATCTGTTGATTGCCTGATATCAGGGGACGCAGAGCCAGCATCTTTGATGGAGGTTCAGCGCTTACAATCACTGGAGAGCATCAATGCAGGACCCGACATATGAGGGGTTTTGTTCGCTGATGTTTGCGCTCTCCTAATTTCCCTTATGGTCCAGGGAAAGGCAGCTCCTGCTGCGAGTGGGCAGTGAGATGCTCCTGCACGTGTAAGTAGATGAAAACAATAGCAAAATTAAACCCAAGAAAAGAACACAAAACAGAGCAAAATGGGATAACGGCTGGAGCCTGGGTAGGGGCCGAACTACAAACCCTATGGCTCTGGCTGGACCTGCCTGTCTGCAGAAGATGAGCGCTTCCCCCTCTTTTGTAGAGCAGCAAAAGCTATTCTTGTAGCTGTCGAGTCCTTTTCTGAAAGTTGGGAAGGTTTTCTCTTTGCCTCAATAACCTGCAGCAGAGAGTCCTACAGGCTAATTACATGTTTCATTTTAAATCCTTTAATTTTTTTGTAGTTCAAATAGATAACTGTGGTTTTCTCCCACATCTTTGATTCAGACAGATGATTTGCTTCATTAATTGATATGTGGAGGAGGGGGTCTAGAAATGAGTTACATTTATGCTTCAAAAAATAATCTCTTCCCAACTGCTTTTTTACTTCTGTAAATCCTCATATTTATTGCAAAATTATCCTGAAGTGAATGTCATCAACCTTTGTCCAGGAGTCTGTTGCTGGATTAATTAGTCTATAATGAATCTACCTCTCATCCTCTTTGATTTCCGTCTTTCAGGCTGGCCTGGTGGCAGACTGCACCCAGGAAGCCGCTTTCTACCCTGAGCTGTCAGTGTGAGGAGCAGGGCAGGGGCTGCTTGCTGAAGCCAGCAGCTTTGCAGAGCTGGGATTCCAGTCATTGAGGTGAAAACACATTTGGAAAGTGCTTTTTTTTCCTGGAGGAGATGTTGGAAACCGGTGAGCCCAGAATGGAGCCATCTCAGAGCCCAAGCTGGTCCTGGTCCAGCCACTCTTTTGGGTGGCGCAAGCATCCCTGCACTAAACAGCGATGGATTCACCTCACAGAGGGGAAGATTTAGTTGCAAGCCTTGCAGCTTGGTGATGATTATTTCAGCTCTTCCTCTTCTTGGCCAGATGGAGAAACTCGAGAAGGCCCCAGCTCTACAAAGCAGGTACCAAAGCAAATCACACTATCATACTGCTGCGCACCAGCCAGGGTCTCATCTCCCTGCGGAGCTTTCCAGCACCGCTTGCTTGCTGCTTCCTCCTTGGCTCTTTTTTCCCCTGCTTTCAGCACACTTTGGTGAAAAACGGGTGTGAATCATTTTTTTTTTGTGAGAAGCTTCCATTGCAAAAAGAGCTTTTTTTAGGAACGCAGCATCTTTTCAAGTGAAATGCCAGAAATCTCACAAGCTGAAGCTGAAATGTGCTGGTTGCAACATTAGGTGCAAACAGTTGGCAAAGCTTGAGTCCCAGTGGCTAAAACACCAGAGAAAATGTCAGACAGTTCCTTGGCTTTTATATTCAGGCTGTCTTGCTTGTGTGACAGGAGGCAAGAGGGGAGGACTCAGCTCAGGCTGCCTGGCTGAGTGACGGATGCATCGCACGGACAGCTTTATATGGCACTCATCACATGGAGGTCCTGATTGCTTCCCAGTGCTAATGAAGATCTCCTGTAATGGGCATGCAAGGTAGCAAAACATTTTTATCCCTAATTTCCAGATGGGCCTGATCCATGTGGATCCATTTGTCTGATACGGCACAACCCCATGCAGGTGGTGGTGACAGTGCTCCAGGGCTCTCCCCACAACAGATCTCGGAGATACCCCCAAAGCCACTAGGAAATCCCTGAAGAGCAGCAATGCTGTTGGCTGAGAAATGCAGTAAAAATGCCATTCCCATTGGTGGGTTTGGGGAAGAATTGTTTTCTTGGATCTTTGTCCCTCAGATTCTTTTGTAAAGAAACGCCTCCAAAAAGGGGTGCATAAGATGTTAGTGGCAGCCTCAAGAAAACTGGGAGAGGAGAGATTTAAGGAAAACAGAACAGAAATGAATAGAATATTTAATGAGAGTAGAAATGTTTGATGCTGACACTAGATTGGGGTAAAGCAGGGAGAAAGCAGGGTAGATAGAGACGAGCTCTTAGGCAGAAGCTCTTCCCCGTGAGGGTACTGAGGCGCTGGCACAGGGTGCCCAGAGAAGCTGTGGCTGCCCCATCCCTGGCAGTGTTCAAGGGCAGGTTGGACACAGGGGCTTGGAGCAAGCTGCTCTAGTGGAATTTCAGATGCTGCCACCTCTTCTGCAGCATGCTGGGGACATACCTGAGCAACAGCATCAAGCGTGGGGCATCCGGCCAGTGCCAGACACTGCTTCCTCCCACTTTCTTTATCACCTGTAAGTAGATACAAACTGGTGCCCAACACCAATGGTTTATAGGCAGATCTGTAGAAAGATGTTTTGTAGGTCAGTGCCACGACGAGGATGGCTGGATTACCAGCTACTGAGATGAAGGATGAAGCCTCCGCTCTGGTCCCCTTTGACCAGAGCCGAGCAGCAAACTCAGCTTGCCCTCTGGGTGAAGAGGTGGCACATATGGATTTTGATAACTTTGTTCTGTTTAGAGGTCATTTTCTACTTTAAATATTCATGGTCTAAGGGACATTAAATAAATAATGCTGCGCTTGCTAGGCTGAGTGGCTTGTGACTTCTGCATTTTGTGTCCTGTTTGCAATTGAGGAGTGATGTGAGGCTGCTAAATGCAACCTGCTCTGTAATTAGGGAAGGTTTTGTTGTTCAGACCCCATTACCTGCTAGCTGCCTTTGCAAAGCAGGACTGAAATGGTTTGCAGACAGGTCTTCAAAACAAGAGTCACTGATATCTAGAGGCTGGTTTCCTCTTGGGGAAAGCAAAATGATTGCTGCAAATCAGTGGGTTTATTTTGATCAAGCAGAGCCTGGATCACTGTGTGTGGTGTTGGAGCATTCCCTTCAACATGGGGGGCAGGCAGGATGCCCCCAGTGCAGCCGCACTGCTCCGTCATTGCTCCTGACAGGGGTGCTGGGTGCTCCATGTGGGTTTTTATTCTGCAGATTCCAATGCATTGCCTGTAGAATCTGCATTAAATGGCAATTTGGAAGAAATCCCTGTGGCATGAGATTGAAAATAAATGGCAGTGCCTCTCATTTTATTTTCCCCTCTATTTGGTTGGTACCAGAATATCCCACAGTGTCTTGGGACTTGCAGTTCAATTCAGACACTTGTATTTGCAAAAGATGGTTAATGAATATGAGGTTTCAAGGTAGGAGCCTTTTAGTGACATGAGATTTATGCAGAGACAGTTATTATACTTCCCCCCCTCCTCCCTGCCTGCTTCAGAAGGAATATGAATAACCAGCTGAAGGCCTCCTGTATTTGTAAATCAGCTGAAACATAACGGTGATGTTGGGAAGTTGTACTGAGTTAACTGAGCTACTTCTCAATCTCAGAGCTTTACATAACCCCTTCTTAACGCACTGTTATTTCCTTTATAGATAGACTCATAAATTACTCCTGGTACACAAAATGTGTGGGATGCTGCCTGTTTGCACAGCATGGGACCAAGACCTGCACATTCAAATATCGGCAGACAGCTGGAACGCAATCTGTGAAAAGGCACTCAGAGCCTCCAGGTCTATTAAATACAAACTTAGAACATCTACTGAGAATTTTATATCTTGCATTACACGGGTAATACCAAAAAAGAATAGGTGCAATTCCCCTGGGACTTTCGTCAATAAATGTCACAGCAGAGCATCCCAAATATTCTTCTTCTGCAGGAAAGTGGCTCGCTGTGCACACAGGGGCTGTGGGGATGTAGCTGTGGTTATGCATGGTGGTATACTTGTGTATAACTATATATCTGAGCACGGAAGATCAGCCTGTGATAGCTCTCTTTAATTTAGTATCCCATTTTCTGCTGAACTCTAACCACATTGAGAGAAGCGGGAAACGTGTCGCTTTGGGTTCTGCAGTTGTTTTGCCGCAGTCCTATAAAATGACAATGGCTACAGAACCCAAATTGTCCTTTTCTGAAGCTATTTGCTTCTTAATGCTGGGAAAACTTCCATTATGGACAAAGTTGCTGTATTTGCTTCTCACACCGTGTCCAATTTACAGACAGTTTTTAGCAGCCAAGTGATGTTGTAAGATGCAGCCTGATGGGCACAACAGAGGCAGGGTCAAGATTACAGAGCCCCACAAAAGAGCCTCTGGTTCAGTTTCCATGTTATCACCTTTTATATCTGGCTGAATTCTTCAAGATTCAGTGTCTGATTTTGAAATGTAGTCCAAGGGCCAACTCTTATCCCAAACCCTCCAGTGATGCGTGATAACGTTTACTTTTATTTTCTTCATGTAGCTGCACAGATTATCAGCATCTTTCAGTTCCCTGTTACCTACACCCAATAATCAAAACCTGGAAAAATACCTTGTCTTTACTCTAAAGGCCACCTCTTGATTAAGCTGTTTTTGAATCCGAGCCAGGTGACTTTTCCAGCTGTGAATAAGGCCCAGGTATTCCGGCTAGTCATATGTCAGATTTGATTAGTAGCATAATCCATTGGGCATGGAAACGATTCAATAACATTTCAGAGCATCTCTGGATGCTAACGGGTTGTGGTTGTCTGCCATGCAGGAGCTGGATGGATATACCTGGGTTCTGGAAAGACAGAATCTGATCATGAAAGAAATAACACATCCAGATTTTATCATAAAATGGTTTGGGTTGGAAGGGGCCCTTACAGCTCACCTAGTCTCATCACCCTGCCATAAGCAGGGACATCTTCAATGAGACCAGGTTCCTGAGAGCCCCATCCAAACTGACCTGGAATGTTTCCAGGCATGGGGCATGTACCACCTCTCTGGGGCAACGTGCCAGTGTCTCACCACCCTCAGCATAACAAATTTCTTCCTTATATCCAGCCTCAAGCTCCCTCTTTTAGTTTTGTGGTTTCTTTCAGTTCTTTTAGTTCTGTTTCTTTTAATTCTTTTAGTTCTGTTTCTTTTAATTCTTTTAGTTCTGTTGCAGTGCTGTCCAGAAGCTCATATTAAGAGGAGGTGACTGCCCTGATGTGGTCTGGGCTGCAGTTATTTGAGTGCCGAGGGAAGGCAGTGCAGGTAGGATGGCCGGAGGCTGAGCAGCTCCTTACGAGCACCTTCACTGTGGAAACACAGCCCCCAGCTCTTCGGGAGCAGGCACAACTCCCCTCCACATCCAAGCCAGCAGTTAGGCTATACAGAGAGCACCCAAACCACATCAGGACCCAAGGGGCAGCACAGGACCTACTATGATGGTGGGACATCAGACCCAGGCAGCAGGCATGGGTGTGCAAGCCATGTACTGGCACTGTCCTCAGGGATTTGAAACAGAAACAGCTGAGAAGCAATTCACATTCTCTGTGCTTCTCCCAAGAAATCGGCCATTTCTGTGGTGTTTTTGTTTCTATCCATCAGGAATAAGGTGTGGTCAGGAGGGAAGAGGAGAGATGTAAAAACAAATAATGCTCTGCGTGGCTCTGTTTCAAAGCAAAAAGCCTCTTGTGGGTTAGGCGACTGCTGGGAGGAAAACTTGTTTTCTTGCTTGCTGCCTGTTCATGTATTTAAGTTGCACCAAGTTCTGTTACCTCGGTGCATCCTTCAGCCGCATGGGGATAAAAGCTCTTGCCTACAAGGCCTGCTAGATGCATGGAAAATGCTTTGGGATTTTTGAGTAAAAAAGGGATAAAATCCCAAACTGTTGCTTATTGCACTGTTAAGGAGTAATAAGATTTGGTTTGTTAGCAGCTCCTGCTAGAAATACTTGGTGAAGTTTTTCAAGGGCATAAGTCATCATGACACCCACAGTTCTCTCCTCGAGTCTACTGAGAACTTTCTGGTTTTATAGCTGTGGGTGGGGGGAAAATCAAATTAATGTATCTGTTTTATAACAATCTATCTAGGGTGGGGAAAAAAAACCCATCTTACACTTTGCCTTTCAGTTCTGCAATAATAAATTAACTATCATGGTTTAAGATGCAGTTGTTGTTCTTTTGCATCTCCAGACTAATGCATCGTGGCACTTCGATTACAAGAAACAGCTCCTCCTGCCCCATCTCCTGGAGGTGAAAGCCTGTGACCACATCAAGGAAAGGCTCAGTGGCTGCCTGGGCTGGATGTGGCCCATTTATATGCCAGCAGCCGTGCCTGGGGTCCCTGACTGTCCCCTGGGGAGTACACGGGGTACCCATCCCCACACTGTGGTACATCTCGCCATCAGCGTCTCTGAAGGGGCAGCATTTCTGTTTGTGCTCCTGTCTTTAACAACTTAAAAGAAGAATAAGAAGATGGAAATTGCAAAGCTGCTGGACCAGAACACGGTGTGTGCAGGCAGAAGTCAGTGCCTCCATGTGCTACGGCCACGGACGCTGTGAGAGAGAATGGGAGAACATGATCAGCAGCTATTGTGAGAGTAATGAAAAGAGCCTTTCAACACAGGCGTGGAAGCACACTGGGGAAAAAAATCCCTCTATTTATTTATATTGATAACCCTATTAAAATTGCTTCCCACAAATGATCTGTGACTGGCACTGCCTTGCCCGGTATCCGCAATAATCAAATCCCGGTAAGGCAATTTAGCAAGTTGTGGTGGATTTTTTTTCCTTCCAAGAGAAAACAGTGGCTTGTTCTTTTATTCCAGCAGCCTGGCTCTGCATCCCCAGCCCTCTGCTGTGCTCTGCCTTGGCCAGGATGCACTGGCAAGGCTGGACCATCGCTGAAGCCATCCTGAGCTGTACATCTGCCTGAGTCCAGGTCCCTGAGCAGAACTGCTGAGTTTGGACTCTTCCACACTAGGGCAGAATTCCTCAGCCCATCTCCATGAAAACATGATTATTGTCATTAAATACATACTGTGATACACAATGTCTGTGCAACACTCCCTGATGAGCCCATGCACCGAGCTTAACGACTCCTACTGTATCTAAACACCATACTCAGCTGTTCAGACACCACCGCATGCTCGGCTCCCACTGCTGATGGAGCAGCCTGATGATTTTCTTAAGGTCTGAGATGATGGTAACACCATGAGCGTCACAAAAAGAGATGTCTCCTCTCCCTCCCACTCTCTGCAAGGTTCATTTCTCAAGCTGAAGCTGCTGAAGATGGAAATCCAGCCAGAGCAACGCTACAGCCCTGGTGTTACGGAGCTGGGATGCTACAACAGAAATCAGATGAACACAGTGGGCTCCCGAAGCACTGTGTTTCGATGGACTTTAATCTCCCACTTGTGAGACAAGACACTGCTGGGTCTGGTGGTGATGCCGTGTGCTCCTGTGTGCCGGGAACATGCGTGACCATGTGCAGCCAGTGCTGTTGAGGGCTGACACCCCATAGCACACATCTGTGTCTAGGCTCAGCTCAGGACTGGGTGAGTAGCTGTTGGCCCTGGCCATTGGATTGGAGTGTGCATCCCCCTCCTGCCTCATCCAACTGCTGCCGCCTCCTTTGTTGTTTGGCCCCTTAGGAATCCTAACAGAGCCCATAATATTTAGTGGGTTCGCTAGTGATAACGTCACGTTAAGTGGCAGAGCTGTGATAAATCACTCCCGCACGTCACTCAATTCCATTTCTGAATTTTTATGTATTTTTGATAGGCCAATTTATCCCTGCAGTAGCTCCAGCCTGTGCAGTCAATGGCATTCCACTGGGGGTGAATTTTGTCTGCTATTTACAGTGTGTGCTTTTAAGCAGTGATTGGTGTGACAGTGTGATCTGTACAGCTGTCTCCCTGTATTTATTCTTTTGCCTATAAGGTTGATTTATACTAGCTCCAAAAAAAGAAAAAAGCTCATAGCTTTTCACGTGAATGACTTTAAATAACTGATTAATGATTATTATTAGCATGAATGGGGTTTGCAAAGCTGATGGGCTTGGTCGAGCAACTGCACGTGAAGTTGTTGTGTGCCCCTCTCCAGCTCTAAACCCTCTCTGAGGTTTTCTCTATAATTGGACTGTACCCCATGGGTTCAATCCGACCTGATGTGCCCGACATGAGGTTGGTGGCAGTGCCACCTGCGTGGGGGATGCCTGGTGTGTGCAGGGATGGCATCGTGCGGTACCCACTCTGAGCAAGGGATGCTCTGCACCAACCTGCTCCTTCTGCAGAAATGTGTGTCCCCCCCCCAGATGACAGTGGTGACTTGTGGGCAGGGAGTGTTCAAGTGCTCTGCTGGAACTGCTATGGTCCTCGTCAGCTTTGTTTGCATGAATTTTATGAGCTTAAAATGGTTGCTCTCCACAGCAGCATCCTTTCAGGCTTGTGTGACATGAACAGCCCCTGAAGCTCTGTTTATAAAGCCAGCTCTTTGGGTCTGTCTCTGCAACTGCAGTGACTTGCCTCCTGCCTGTCTGGGTGCTTGTGATTTATTCAGCGTCACTCCAGCATTCTGCTGGGTTAGTGCAGTGCTGGGTTAACCTGCTCTGCTTGGCTTTGCGCTTCTGGGCTGAAAATAGCAGGTTCCCAGTGGCAAGAAACAACCGTGAGCAGCAAAGCTCTGCCTCTATGTTTCTTGGGTCATGGGGACAGGGCACACCATCAGCATAGGGATGGGCTCCTCAGTGCTGTGCCCTATCTTGGAGAGCAGCACAACCAGCATCCCCTGACCACCTTGCACTAACCTGCCCTGTCAATCAGCATCCCTCAAGCAGCAAACTCCCTTCCAACAGAGCAGCTACTATACAGTTAACAGCTTCCAGGATGAGCCTTCTGAAATGTTCATTCCAGCAGTGTTATCCTGCTTGAGCTACCACCTGTGGTACCAAATAGGAGGAAGGATAGCTACGTCATGAATACGTCCATGCCCCAAAAGGAGGAATTTACAAGCCAGGAAACGCCGTGTGTGTTTTCCTGGAGGTTTAACTCCTGGATGTGTTTGTTTTGATGTATTCACAAAAGGGTAACCAGAAGCAGGCTGCAGAGCACCTCCAGAGGGGTTCAGTTTTCCCTAGTGTTACATGATGCAGCCATCCAGCTAGGAGCACCCTTGCTATTCAGTTGTTGGATTTGTCCCTGTCAAAGTCATAGGAAGGGAATAATAGGGTTGTTTTTTATAAGATGGCACTGCTTCAAAAGTAATAGAGGAGAAGACAAAGTCTGGGAATACGAGGTATTATTATTGTTATTATTATTAATCACAGCTCAAGTAAACCTGCCTGAGAATCACTCTTATTACTTGGTTTGCTTTCCTCTGGTTTCTGTTCCCTGAGCACAGTTTGATTAAAAACTGTTGCATCGCGTTTTGCTCACAAGGGCTGATGTGCTGTGTTGCTGTCACCTCTCTGCAGCCAAAATAATGTGACACATCATGGAAGTGGCTGAATACTTGCTACTGGTTTTGATCGTCTTCAGAATATCGTTTTCACTTTATAAAGCTAGAGAATAGCTGCCCTCCTGCAGCTCCCATTCACATCTTATCCTTGAACAATGAGAAGAAAATCTGCCTGCAGTAAATGTTCAGTTTATGTTAGGGAATTTTTCTGACACAGACAGAAAGGGAAATAAAGCGGCTTTATGAAATAATGGTGCCATTCGCAGATAAACATGGATACTTTTGCTGTTAACTTCATGAATAAGGGAGAGGAAGGAGGTCAGCTGCAGCTGAACCCATGCCAGAACTGCTTCCTTATCCACAGGGTTTAGGGCTTTTGAGATTTATATTTTAAAGACTTTGACATAGATTTTTTACCTTCCTATACCTAAAAAGGATTTATTACAGGTGCAGCAGATTGTCTGTGCCATGCTGATAAAGCTGGGTTTCTGGGGGGCTGGTGGATGCAATGTCCCTGCAGTGAGCAGCACAGTGATGTGCAGGGTGATGTGAATGGCAGCGCAGGGTCAGCGCGAAGCCAGGCAAAAAGGACCTCATTGCTATGGAGTAGCTCCTATTTGTCACCAGTTCCAGTGCCCAGGGAAACCTGCTGTTGAACTCTTGGCTGTTTCCAGCCCTGGGACGCTTTTCTGCTCACCTATGGCAGCGCTGATGTGCCAGTTCAGCAGCGGCTCCTTGGAAATGGGGATGCGAAGCATGTTGTGAGTACTGTGGTCGTATGAAACACACACATCTGCTAGCGTGACTGTGCAACCAAACATCAGCTCAACTACTTCTTTTTATTATTAATTTCAAGCTCCAGCTGCTGCCCTGAAGCATTTTGTTCTGTCATTCTGAAAGTTGCTGCTCAGAACAAACAGAAGGGGAAGAAAAATGAAAGCAAAGCCCCTAAAACTCATTAGTAACATGAAGTCTAGCAAAGGCGGCTAATGGTGTCTACTAATCCATCAAGGTGGCTCATCTGTCAGCTGTAAAAGCGTCATCCCTAGAAGTTTACTAAAGCTTTATAAGGTCTAAGCTGAGTTTACTGCCTGTGGCAGCAGTGCTGTGGTGGCAGTGTGCAGGAGGCACTGCATGGCCAAGGGAAAGAGAGCTCAGGGCCCATCATGCAAGAGCAGCATTGGGAACACAGGCCAAATGTGTGTCAGCCCCAAAGATGGGGTTTCAGTCAGTGCCGGGGTATGTTACTTTTGCCAGAGGAAATCAAACAAGTCCATCAGTATATGGACTGTCAGCTGGCCTAAGAGGTGGATCTTTATGTCTGGTTTCACACAGCACAGCTCATTACTCTGTTATTCTTGCAAAGCTTTGCCTGATGGTCTCTATAGCATCAGTGTCAAACTGGAGAGGATGAGGTATCTGTTGGGGATGTGGGGAGAGCTGGGACCAGCTTTCTGACTGCACCAGTCTGGGCTGACACACTGAAGAGAAGCTCTAACCCTGCCTGTCCTCAGCCTGGTCAAAGCAGGGCAGCTATGGGGTGCTCCACAGGAAACAGGGGTGAGCTGGGAGTGCACACACAGGACACATGGGTCCCACTGATGCAGGAGCTGCTGAGGCTGCTCCATCTTGGGCTTCACAAGCAGAACATGACTATTTACCAGCAGAGATACCCTCTCTGTGCCTCCTGCAAGGTCTCGTTCACCTTCTTCACTCTCCCTTCCAGTGACTTTCCCTTTGCCCTCAACTAATACATCATCTGGGCCAGCCCCTTGGAAACAGCCCATGGTGTATTTGCTGCTTTATACTGCTGACTTTCAGGCTTTGCTGCCGCGATAGCTCCCCATCCATGTTGATCCCTTTTCCCTTTGGAGACTGCTGACACGTTCTGGTTTTGAAACAGCTCCATATAGAACTGGAAGGAGGTCTCAAATCCAGATCAAGCTTCACACCCGCTGCCACTCCCCCATGCACCCAGCCTCTTCCCTCCTGCAAGTTTTAAGCCACTCTTTTCACTGCTGCTTTGCTGGTCTAATGAGTTTACCGCTGCTATTCCCTCTGACGAGGGGATGGGAAGAGTCACACAGTTGCTGCAAAAGGCTCAGAAATACATGTAAGTGGCTTGGGTTTCTCTGTGAAATCTGAATTCAAATCCCTGCTCTCAGGCAAGAAATAAAAGGGAGAAACACCAACACTGAAGAGCAACAACTTTAAAAAAGCCCTGTTCATAGGGAAGCTGAGGTTTCGCTGCCTTTTTCTTTGGATGGGGATGTGGTAGCATTGCCTACAAGAGCCTTTCTTCTCTGCATTAGGCGAGCGAGGAGATTTCATTTCATACATCATTTACAATGGAGTGCATCAAGAGCAGAGTCGGTGCATATTAACACAGGGATGTGGGGAAAGAGTTGGGTTCTTTGAACGTTTCAAAGCATTTCCAACGAGGAGGGGAGCCGGGGCTGCTGATTCCCCTTCACTCCATCATAGAAGCTGTGTGAACCAAAAGCCCATGAAATGGAAAGAGCAGAACAAAGGCACTGTAAGGCTTGTAATGTACCAGTGTTAGTAGGAGCTGGAGTAGCACAGGGATGGTGTAGCAGCTGGCCCTGTAAGTCTCGAGGAACTCTTCTGTCTCTTCTCACTCCTGCCTTCCTTTGTGTTCACACTGGAGTGAGTGCAGGGTCCTCCTTGTACCTGGAAAGAACAATCAAGGGTTGGGAGGAGAACATGAGGAAGATGCTGTCCTCCTCCTTCCTTCCCAGCCCATTTGGCCAGCAGCTGCCCAGAAGCATGCTTTCTTCCTTGCCCTGAGCTTTACTTGCAGCCAGGTCTTCAGGTCAGTGCAGAATGGCCATCCCGTGTATTGATTAAAAACCCTTTTAGATAATGATCAATGGTCTTTGGTTTTAAATATATTTGGGTTTTAATTTCCTCCTGGAATTTGCAGCCAGAAGATATGCTTGAGAAAACTGGACATTGTAACTCACTATGAGCTCTAAAACTAGATCTAGGGAAAGCAAATGTTGTCTTATCACAGGACTCCAGGGCCTGGATCTTTCTGGAAAACACCAGGCACCACAAAACTTGCTATCGAAGTTATGGA